GCCCCCGCCCCGCCCTCATGTCTCGCCGCGCTCACGTGTTGCAGGATAGCGTCTGAGCAGCTGCACAGCGCGCAGGCCACCTTCAACCTGGGCTACATGCACGAGCGCGGCCTGGGCCTGGCGCGCGACCCCCACCTCGCCAAGCGCTGCTACGACCTGGCCGCGGACAGCTCGCCCGACGCCCGCCTGCCCGCCGCCCTCGCCCTGGCCCGCCTGCACGCCGCCGCCGCCCTGGACCACATCGCGCACGTACGACACGCCCTCCGCACGTCCACACCTCCCCACACCGCACCACATCGTCATGACGACACCTGTGCTCTGTGCAGACGGTGATGGAGAGCCCGCTGGCGTGGCTGCTGGTGTCGGCGGAGTCCAGTCTGCTGGCCAGCTGGGACGCATACCTCATCGCCGCGCTCGCCGCCGCCCTCGCCCTCGTCGTGCTGCTGCGCCGCCCACCACAGGCACCCCCCCACCACTGAATCATCGACAAAACTATTGCATAGTCAAATGATCGATGTAATCGTGACACTGACACGACACGACATGACATGACACCCCGCGCTCTAACGACCGATTGCTGTTCCTGTTATATATACAAATTATATAAAATTAGATTAGATATGACAGCGACATATATCTGATCTGTCTCATCTGCGAGCAACATATACTTTCAATAGCTTTTTATTTATCATAAATTAGTTTGAATGTATTCGGCACATAAACAAACAAACAAACAAACAGTATATATATTTTCTAATGGTGGTCACGTTCTGGTTTACTGTACAAGTAAGAACTTTGTGATGTTCATATCTATATGTTTATTGCTTTTGAATTTATTTATTTTGTGAAATCCTTTTCATTTCATTAAACGACGCCGCCATTGTACGTAAACAATTAGCTAGCGTCACGACCGGTCCTGCAGCAGCACCACCGCACCGCCCCACCTTCTCTGCATCGGCTGGCTCAAGTTCTGCCGGACTACGTAATTTAAATCAACGATGAAATGATGTAAATATTGAATAAAAATAGAGTTTTTAAGTTAATATTGTTTTATTTAAGATTGATAGAGAGGGAGAGAGAGATGTGGGCAGCAGCAGTGTGTGTCACGTGGGCGAGCTGGTGGGGGGCCGGCGCTCCAGCTGCTCCAGCTGGTCGATCTTGCGCGCGATGTCTTCCGCGGAGAAGGCGCACTCCGCCGCCTCCGGGCTCGCCTCCGCCGCCTCGCTCTTGCATTTCTGACACACCACATCGGAATCACCTCATTAACTCCTACTCCTAAACTCCAAACTCTTGTTTCAAACGAAGAAATGATGTTATTCATCTATTGATCTATGCTCTTATTGCATATATTTGCAAATAAAATTGTCAGAATAACCTGTCGAATTGAGTAACAAAAGGCATCGAGCGGACTTACCCAGAAGTGGGCGTACTCCGGTGAGATGGCCTGCAGCTGCGCGATGCGATCCTCCACCTGCTTCAGCCTGCGGTACACGTCGCTCCCCACCGGCGTCACGCTCAGGTACTCCTCCGCCGCGCGCAGCCGCTCCGCCACGCCCCCCGGCAGCGCCCCGCCCTCCTCGCGCCCCGCCCCGCCCACCTCGCGCCCCGCCCCGCACCCGCCGCGCGACAGCTGCGGGCCCCACTCGTTGTGCACCTTGCGTACTGGACAAACGGTTACGCTCACTTCACTACTTTTACTGTGGCTTTGTTGATTCATTATTCCTAATTTACCATACAAATTTATACAGGCAATAGTCATTCTACATTTACTGTACATATATTTTATCGTCACAACTACTCACTTTTCAAGTGTCCCTTGGAGTCGGACCGCTTAACGAACTGGGTGCGTACTCTGGCGCACGTGTCGGCGTCCTGCGTCTCGCTATCGCAGTGGCCGGGGATGAAGTCGACGATGTTGGTCGCGTCCACTTGCGCCCGCTTCCGCTCTATAAAGTTCTGTATGCGTTGCTGCAGCTCCTCGTTGGACACATTGATCTGAATAAGGTTTCTGTCGGTCGTGTTGTCCGGTGGCCGAGGAGGTGATGGACATGGCGATCTATGTGGTAGTGGTGGTGAACCTGCAAGGATGTTCCGGCTTTCAATGGGAGGAGCGTCTGGTTCGAAGGACCATTCAATAAAAAAAACGCATCAACAATTAAATATATTTATTTAAAAAAAAAACATTATGTACTTCAAAATAAGGCGAACTATTCTAAATTATAACAAAAAAAGTAAAAGAACCGTCTATTTCCATTGTTTACAATGGTTTTCTCAATTTATTGCACATATTGTAGCAATGTAACCAGCTCGAGGAGCCAAGCTCGGGGTGTATCCACAACCGCGTATTATGCTTTTATATTTCTCAACAACTATCTTCTTTGACTACCAAAAAATTGTAAATTTTTATATCTCCTAGATCCAAATCTAGTCTACCGTTTATTAATTCCTTAACTAAAATTGTGAATCTAATATTTTTCTTCCAAGTTGTAATACAACAAACAATTAAAAATGAAGTGAACATGGCAAAGCTTATAAGCATCCCCTCCCGTGTGGGGTGGTTACATACAAGTTTACCGAGTTAAAGCTATTGTAATGATTGAGGTGCAATGGTAGCGGTGGTGTCGTTGTGGGTGTGGGCCCACGCACATTCGGGGTTCTCCTTCCAGACGGGCGCGTGCTCGCCGGCGTAGTGCTCGCGCTTCCAGACGGGCGCGCTCGCCTTGAGGCTGTCGACGCAGTGCGCGGTGGCGGCCAGCGCGGGCCCGCGGTGCGCGCTGCTCACCGCCACCACCAGCGAAGCCTCCCGGCACTCCACCTCCCCCACTCTGCGCACACGCACACATACACTGCCGCACTTTTCATAAAGCATCTATAAACTGTATGGGTTCCTTTATCAAACTATTATTTACACATAAAAATTATTGTGTGCGATTACAACACAAGGCGGCGAGGTCGCCGGTCACGCTCGCCCGCGCACTAATCGAACACATCCTCTATTACAAACATATAATTTATTGCCTTTTTCACTTTAAGTTGCGATCTGAATACTAATATAAGAGAACTTTCCTTAAAAAAATCTTTATGTACTTTTCAATTCTTTTTGTGTTTTGAAAAAACTAATTTTATATACTAATAATAATTACTTTAATTACTAGTAAATTACTTTTCAATGACTAAAAATATATTAAGCAATAAGTAAAATATAGATAACATTTGTAGTGTAATTAACATTCATACAACTGATAAAAGTGAACAAACAATGTGATGTAACATTGCAAACAAGTCAAATGTATAATTTTAAGCAACATTTGTTGCTAGCAATCTTATGATGTTGGGTGACAAGTTAAAAGTTATCTTAGAAAACTTCATCTAATAAATACAATAAAAGTTTATAGTTGATATGTATCTAATATTGTCAATCTGCAATACCTGTGGAGGCTAAATATAGGTGTTTTACTTTGGGTTTTATCAGAGGAGTAGAACTGTTATACTTATTATTGACTAAATATACAAAGGTGAATTTCTATAACAGATACCTGTGGTAAATAGCAATGCCATGTACAGCCGGCCATTTGCTTCTGATTTCATTGCAAATGTCTTTAAAAGCCTTCAACGCCATCGCCTCGTATGCTTCATACTCCAACTTGACCACCTGCACAATGTACACAATTACAATTTTTTTTCAACTATACCAACAATTATTAACATGTAAATACCTACATAATTAATGCAATCTACTTACCTTTTTACCTTCGAAGTTGTCTCTGGTTGTGCCAATGAAAACGGAGATGGCACCACAGCTGCTGTCCCCCACCAGCTCACTGATGGCCTCCACCGACAACTTGTCCTCTGTTAATTTCAGGTGATCCATGTCTACAACTTTAACCATATGATGACAATTTAGCCCCCACTCAATGGAGGTATAACTGCAATTCTATCTTCCTGTTTAATTTCCAACTCTACACTTTGCTCACAGACTTCCTCATTTTTAGCTAAAAGTATATTATTCCTCAATGGTTGCAGATTGTATGTCTCTGTGATAATGTTGAGAAGTTCCTTGTAACTAATCCTCGTTGGCACCTGAATAGTAGCCTCCCGAGTGCCGGCCAACTCCTTTGATTGAGCAAAAAATAGCACTTTCACTGTAACAGCATGCTCACTTTCCATTATTCATTCTGAAAGTAGAAAACGTAGTCCAAATCCAAATATTTCATCATATATAGTCTTAAACATGAATTAAACATGTCAAATTTTGTAATGATATAATTTATGAACGAAGTCGCTTAACCCTTAAGTAAAGCGATGTGTGAATGTGAAATTAAATTACAGTACGTAATTACATTGAAATCAACGATGCATTTATACCGAGTAGAAATTACGACTCTTTATTATTACCCTCATAATATTACATCACTTGAAACCTATAACTAATATGAACTTATAGTGTACATTGCACCCTGAAGCCTGAAACACTTTACAAATTCATTCAGAGAACAGAATTATTCTAAATTCTGAAATTAGTGGTTTGAATTCTATTGTGTCAAACTGTCAATTGTCAACGTCCGCTGGTGGTTGACTGTCAGTGTCATCATGTCAGCCGTCTGCACGTGTCACGGCAGGGTGCAGTTGAGTGTTGACAGTGTGCGAATGTATTGGATTTTTTTTATGGAAAATACATAATAAGTGTTTTAAAAAATAGAAGTTTGGTATTTAAATTATCATAATAACAGGAAGTGTATAGCTAATCTAACAGCTATGAAAATACCATTCTGGTATTTTTGTACAGATTAAACTTTCAAACACATCCACCAAAATTGTTTTAATACATGCTACAACGATTTAAATTTTTGTATCCATATACCTATATTAAAAATCTATTTTAAATATTAGTGTAAAAACACTTCGTCCAGAAAAAATATTAAACTATGGCAAAGTGTGGCAAGTTCAAATTTGACGTTTAAATTTTTAAAAAGTTCTGCATTTCAAACGCAAAACGGCAAAACGGTCTCGGTACATTGAGCGGCGTATTTGTGTGTGGTCGTAACAGTTTTTTGGCAAGATTCCCTTGTTCCTTCGGGAGCGAGTTATATAAACTACACGTCGATATGTTTGCGCTACAACGAAGTTATAAATAGATTTTTGACTGAAATTTACGTTCTGACATTTTTGCTTTAATGACATACATTGCATTCGTTTATAGAAATGCGTTAGAAATTCAAGTGAAACTCAGTGTATCAAATATTTTAAATATTAAAGTGAATGTGTGCTAAGTGAGTTTTGTCGGATGACATTTACAAAAAGTGGCGACAAAAGGATTGTGTTTCAGTATTAACTATATATAAAGCAGGAAACTATAAGTCATAAATTGATTGAATTTGGCACAATGGCTCAAGTGGAGCCAATGGATATTGACGATATTGATAGCGATTTCGACAACAAAGAAAATAGTTCGAATCACAGCAATGTGCTGCCTCGGACACCCTGCATGGAAAAGGGATATGAGGAATTGGATGTGTCTGAATTGAACATGAAGCTGAGGTATTCAATAACCCCTGCCGCTTCTCCTATGTCCAAAAGTCTCAATGATTATGAAATAAGCACAAACATTGTTGTGGCCTATGAAAATAATAATTTAACCCGTTCCCTAAATTCTACAATGACCAAATCTGAAACAGTAACTTCTTTAAAATCACTTCCGTTGCAAGTTCACACAAATGAGAAAGTGAGCGATGATGTGATTCCTTCAGTGCTGCGCACTGTACACCCAGCTTCTGACAACAATGTAACTGTTACTCAAGAAGGGGTTAATGATAATGTTGAAAACATGTCCCTGCCGAGTACATCATCATCTGTGACTCATACACCGGAGGCAACAACACCCACAAAGGAGGTACCCAAACATGACGGCAGCTCCCCTATAATGAGAGGTCTGAAAAGTGTACTTAACATGTTTCGTTCCTCTCAAAGTCCCATACCCCCTCCTGAGACTACATTTACTAATATGACACAAGAAATTCTTAGTCCTAACAACTCAATTTTAAAAGACATGGAAAATATCAGATGTCAAACAGTTGTTGTATCAACTCCTATTGCAAATAACAGAAAAGCATCAAGCGAGTCTCGAAGAAACAGTCCTTTAAAAGAGAGTATTGTGTTCAATGATGACCTGGAGAAGGATTTGCAGTGGAAAGATGAGACAACTATATTTTTCAAGGATGAAAAAATTCCCATTCACAAGTTATTTCCATCTCAATCCATGTGCAATTCTAGAACTTCAAAAAAGGTTACAAAAACTTTAAAAATGGACAAAAGTGAAAGTAAAAACATGACAGAAGAATACATGAGTATGTCAAATACTGCTTCATTATCTCAAAGTGGAATTGGTATAAATGCCCAACTTCTATCTTTACAAAATGAAGTTTCTGCTCTAGAGTCTGATGGTGAATTTGTTGACTGCGAGATGACACTCAATGGAGAATCCTTTAATAGTAAATTGAGTGATCAAGAAGATAATGGTTATGAGATAACTAAGAATGATGATAAATTTATTCATGAAAATACTAAACAAGTAATAGATAACATTGAAGATTTATTAACTGATTGTAAAGAAAACAAATCATTTGTGGTACACAAGCCATGTGAAATAAGTTGTGCATTATCTACTGAAAAAAATTCAAATCAAAGCATATTTTTGAATGACAACATAAATGATCAGGAAGAATTTGAATCTAAAACAAATATTGCCTACGAGAGACATTCTACATCTGAAAGTGCAATAGAGAATAATGCCAACATAAATGAAGTGCTTGGATCAAATATGGAAAGTATTCAGAGTGAGAAGAAATATGATTTGAGTGCAGAAGAGCATCCAAACTCTACTAATGTTACTTTATGTGAAGATAATGGTAAGATATGTGATTCAAATAATGATTACAATGAAAAAGTTCATCCCAGTGAAGTTCCTTTACCACATGATAATAATATTAACTTTATGGAGTTTCTCAGTACTACAAAATATATGAATGAACCTAAGGTGTGCACCGTACAACAAGATTTGAATAAAACTGCCATGACTGTTGATTCTAGTGAATCAGTAATGATGCAAGAAAGCTATTGCAAACATGTTCAAAATGAATATGAAGTAAAGCTAGATAAAGATAACAATCTGGAAACTGCTAATTTAAAGCCATCTGATAAGGTTGATGTACCTATAACCAAGGAAACTACATTACAATATATAGGTGTAGACAAACAAGAAGATTATATGGAAAATCAAATTATTGACTCAATTCACACCCCTGTAAATGTACCCTTCATACCAGTAACTACAGAATGTAATGATGATCAAAACCAAGTACCTTATAATCAAATTGAATTAATTCAAAAAGATAATAAACTTTTCTCTAAATGTATTAATGACAAAGAAATTAAAACTGACAAACTAGAATTGGGGGAACTCAATGATGATCATTCACAAACAAATAAGTGTAAGAATGATGACTTGTCAATGAATCCCCATCATTCAACAAGTGAAGATGCATCTTTGAATACTTGTGGATTGTTGAACATTACAACAATTGAACAGAATGTCATTGGAGCTCAAAATTCATTTAATGTTGGTTCAAAAAAAGTTCACGAAGGAAATGAAACAAGTAGTACAAATTCAATGATGTATGATTTCAATGAAAATGACAAAGAATCAAATAGTACTTTGATTAATGAAAAAATTAAAAAAACAATGGACTTAGGAGATGAAACCCTGGTAATTGAAAATAATTCCAATGAATTGTCAGATAAATTAACTAATTTTGATAATACCTATTTGAATGAGCCAAGTGACTGTGCTCCAGACACAACCTTCAATATGGATGCAAAAAAAGAAACAAATGCAAGTAGAGATGATGATAAAAAACTTGATCAAAACAATATATCGAAAAATACTGCAATAAATGTACTTGTTGAAAGTAGCAAAATGTATGAGGATGTACACGAAGGCAAAAATACTAAAATTGAAACAATATTGAATTCAGTAGCTGGTGAGGAACATGTTAATGTTAAAGAAACTTCAGAATCGCAAATGTTTAGTGAGGGCGACTGTTCAAACAACAAAGAAATAAATAATTTTTATTCTAAGAATACAGTTTTACAAGAAAATAAAACAGTAAATGTATCAGATATTTTAAATGCGAGAAAAAGTGAAGTACTGCAATTAGAACATTGTTTAAATGTAACAAATTCACTAGATTACATAAATAAAACATATGTTACACCCGACAATCCTTCCAATCTACCAGACCAAGATACTTTAGTTGAAACTATAGAGGTATTTGCTTGCCAGACTGAGAAGACTGACTCCAAGTCTGCTATGAACAATCACGAGGTTACAAGCCAAGAACGAATTACTGCAAATTCTTCATTGCATAAAATAGAAAACGTCAGTATTTTAGATAAAAATAGTATATCATCACAGGTCACAGGTAGTGAGCCTAAAAATGTATTCAATTTGCCTGAAATATCAAGCGCGTTTATTTCAAAAGTGAAAGGAAACGTGGGTACGTCATCAACACCAGATGCAGATGATGATTCTAAGTACATTTTCAAAGTACCGTCTAGTAATTTGACTCATCTTTCTCAAAAATGTGACAGCCACACTCAAGACATAGATCCCAAATTATGTGTAGATAAAAACGAACTTGATTCTCCTGACGTGAGCACGTCGTCAAAAGGTTCAGAAGCGACAGTCCATGAAGTCAACACCGAAGACGATGATACTGTAGAAGCTTCTTTCTTTGAAACCGAAGAATTTAATGAAGTTGATAAAAAATCAGATCACGAAGACATGATAGATTTTTCCGATATACCGACTCAAAAGATTAACAACAATGCCTACAAAGGAGAAATGTTTATTGATGCCGAGGCATTTCAGTTTCTCCTGAATCAGAATAAAAGCAATGTCGTTGCAGACAGTGGCAGAGAGAGCTTGTTTCTAAAATTTGATCCACTCTTTGCAAAAAGAATGTCTATAGACGCAGCGTCCGTTAATAAAATTCAAAAAGGCCAAAGTACACCCAAGAAGATTTCAAAAGCCTTATCGAATATCGATTTTTATAGAAACGCTAACGAAACCACAGAAAGCACTTTAGAAGCTAACTTTGAAGATTCTACGGTTCTACTTTCAAAACCAATGATGGTAGTGAACCCTGCTGTTAATTCTGTCTTTTCGCCAAGAAACAAATCCTGCACTCCGCCGAGAGCTAATCGGCGATCCCATACATTTACGTCGCCAGCCATAGCTGTCATAGACCGCCTCCTCTCGTTAAGTGGCGATAACTCTGCGCTAAACCTCGAGATGTCAATCATTGATGTACGCGGACGAACGAATGAAACAGATCAAGTCTTGACACAGTTAAGAGAGTTATTAGCTGAAAAAGAGATAAACGTTCATGGCCTACGGTCTGAGAGCAAGGAATTATCGGAAAGACTGCGTACGTTAGAATCGCAAGTGAAAATCTTAGAAACTGAAAGTGAACAGAGACTCCGAAAAGTAGACGATTTAAACAAATGTCTAGTTGAGAAAAGCAAAATGAACAAGGGTATGGCGGTTGTAGTGGAAGAATACGAGAGAACTATTGCAAGTTTGACGGCGGAAATCGAGCAGGACAAGAAGGCGCATGCGGAAGAACGACTCAAATTAATAAATGAACGAAACGAACAGAATGCCCACCTGGCGAGCATGACCATGTCATTTAATGACCTGCACAGTAAATATGAGAAAAATAAACAAATAATTATGAATTGCAAAGACAAAGAAGAAAAATATAAACGATCTATCAAGGAGTTCGACGAGAGTGTTATAAAGATACAGAATAACTATGAACTATTGAAGCAGCACGCGACGTCCAATTTAAACAATAAAAACGACGAGTTTGAAAAGTTGAACAGGACTCACGAAGCCGAAGTTTTAAAATACGGAGCTATGATAAAGAGGAAGGAGATGGATATTTCTTCTCTAAAGGAGACTTTGGCACAAAAAATTAAGGCCAACGAGGAGCTGACGGCGATCTGTGACGAACTTCTGAACAAAGTGGCATAATAAAGTCGCATGACACCATCGAAACCGCCGCGGCCAGCCCGCTGTGCTGAGCCGGCAAACCGATCTTCGCTATCTCGTCATAACAAGAACACGTCTACTCCCGGTATAATGTGCCAACATACTTTAATTTTAAAGACTGCTATTGTGATAATATGTAAAATGATATATAAACAGTTCATGCGCCGCCTCGAAAACTATCGATAGTTTAATAATTTGCTCGAATCTTATTATGTTCAAATTAATGTCTTTTATATAAATTGTAACAGTTAATTTTATATTCTTTATTAGGATATTATAAACTAAAATTAATAAAATTTTATGTTACATCATCAGATGATAGTTTCTCGTTGAAATGGAAATGAAATCGTTGCTTGTTGTAATCATGCTGACTAAGCTTTACATTAGAAGGAAACTAAACACATTTTTGGTATATAGTTGTATATAATGCGCATTACACTATTAAAACAAATTATAATATTGATAATGACATATTTTCGGAGATTGTTTTACTATAGAAATAATATTATTTTTGATAATCATATTCCACTTTTCCAACATGATGTATCGACTTATATATTTGTATCGTTCTCAAATATCCTAATAAAATATTAAGCATTGGCTTATTTAAATTGTAGTTTAACTGTTCTACTCGTACAATACATCTTCTGTTGCAGTATAATATATCTTTGATAACATACTCGAGTGATGATAAATTGATATTCTTCTATTATTTCTGTAGTTATTAGATTTGTTTGACATATTCCTAATTTGCTTTTTATACTTTCTAATATATCGTGAACGATTGTGAGGCAACTTATTTTAGTTATTAAAGTAATTTTTATATAAATATTTGACTTTTATTTGTCACCAAATTTTAATACTTAATCATTTTTGTGATGTTTATAATGTCCACGACATTCGAAGATAATGAAAATTGTAATTCAACAAAATTCGTTGTTTCAATGCACGTATTTGGTCGTTACTAAAGTTAAAAGTCCATACATTATCAGGGATAAATAACTTTTAATACATAATAATTGTAAGGGATATTGCAACATGTTACAATTTATAAAAGGGTCGAGACACAAAATTTCATTATGCTCCGTAGTTGAGGGCGGGAAGCACGACTTCCTGCGTCCCATTTTTGAGGAAACGTAAACACCTATCCTAAAATAGATCTGAAGACACGGCGAGACTTAAACTTGCGCTCGATTATTTTAGACAGCGGCGGTCGTTAAACAATCAAAAGGGGTCAACGACCTATCACTCGTCGATACGTTTATGAGGACGCGGCGGAGACACGTGGGCCGCGGACGTGCAGCATGGCAGTGCCACGCCGTGCCAGGAATCGGGAATCATCCCAGTTGAAGTGAAAGGCCGGGAGTACAGGTTCGCGCGCCGCCGGGCGGTCTCGTCCTGCCGTCGGAGTCGCCATGGCAACGAATGACAAACATTGTCAAACGCAGTCGGGCGGCGATAAAGCGAGCGTCATTTGCGGCGAGGATGCGGTCATGTTCGACGAGAGCGTAGCGGTGGAGGGGAAGGAAGTAGACAGCTCCGGGAGCTCCGAGGAGGGTGCCGTGCGCGCCGCCATGAGCAGGTTCCAGCCACCGGTGCGCCATACCGCAAGGCACGACTTCCACTCGGACAGCGACAGCGACAGCGAGTCCGGCGCCGGCGAACCTCCCGCCCGCCTGCCTCACCACCAGGTCAGCACTTAGCATCTTCTAAGGGATCAATTTGATGACAATATGTATAGGTATAATGTATACACATAGATTTACATATAAAGTTCAAAACATCTTTAGGTCGAGAACGTAAAGTTATAGGTTAGTTGGAACTTGTAGTCGGAAAGCATACCAGCTTTACAGCAATGGCGACTATCGAGGTTATTTGAAAACAGGAACAGGCCCTGGGAGAGTAATATTTTAAATATTATAATAAGTTTTACAGTAGTTTAATACATAATAGAAAAAACTGTCATCTTCTAAATATCAGTTAAGTTTGCAAATGTAAATAAATATTTCCAACATAAAATGGTAAAAGGAAAGATCATGTGGTGGTGTCTGTTGGCGCCCAGTTTCGCAGACCTCGTGTGCCGGGCCGAAGCGCGGCGGTTAGATATAGCTCTTCGTCTGCAGGCACTCTAGCGGTCGCTGTTGCATCAGGTCGATGCGATCTTTATTTCAGGACACGCACCCGCGCTCGCTTTATTTATTTTTAGGTAGTACACGAAACTGCCCAGACATTATCAATACCCTTAATACAATAAGATAATATGTAAATGAAAAAAAAATGAGAGCTTTCGGTTACGGTTGTCAGTTAAGAAATGCCTGTCAGGTTCTGTTATTTTATGCCTATATCATTCTGTGTATTTGATAGTCGCCACAAAGGAGAGCGAAGACTCCTGAGCAGCGAGAGGCGGGCGGCGGCGGCGGCGGCGGCGATCGGCAACGCACCGGCCCGCAGCGCCGCCGCGACACCTCACACTCTGGTTATAATAAAATATACTAATATATAATATCATCGCATTTAGCGCCTCTGTCGTTATTTTAGATTTATTTTTTTGTTAGCTGTAAACTTACGCAAACAGTTTTTTTTATGGGAGCAGTTGTTAGCTCTGATCCACAAATGCGGCCACTTGTGGGCACGATCACAGTAGAGTTGCCACCTATCATTATTTATAAGGAAGTTAGAGAGACAGGAGCATTCACCTACTAATAAAATGTCTCTTATCGTCTATCTATCTCGTACATAAAACCAATCCATTTAAAATTAGACGTTAAACGTGTTTGTTTTAGAGTCTGACAGTGGCGAGGATGTGGCAGTGCGCGAGACGCCAGGGCGCGCGCTACTCGCAGAGGGCGCCTACGACCCCAAGCATTTTCAGGACCTCAAGGTGCCTCCCGACATGGACAACTTGTTCCAGTATATAATGAAGTGAGCCATCAGCATTACGAAGAACATGCGAATGGATTTTATCATTTACAGGGAATTCGGTCTGTGATGGCAAGCTCCGTCTCGTTGTTGCGAAACATAGGGATACTGATGCGCCTTTTTGTTATAAAGTGGCAAACGAGAAAGCGGCCGCCTGAGTTCGCCGATATAGTGAAGAGACCGCTATCCATAGACATCCGTAATTGCAGATGCATTACCTACCTTTAAACAATGGAGGAGGAGAAAAAATCTTCTCTTTTTCCTAAGCGTTCCTAACTCCAAATTCCCTTCCTGTGCTTTCCTTACAAGCATGGGATGAGAAAGGAACTACAATGAGGGCTCCGGAACGCACGCTCATCAGACGGAAGGAGAAAGTACTTCCACTGGAAGCCTGTTACAACAAATGATATTGCGGACTCTACCACTGCTTAAGTTTTATATTTATAAATATTATTGTTATTGCGGCAGTGGAATACATAATATTTCCATACATTAGTTAGTGTTGGTGCAGGTATACTCCGCAGAAGATCGAGCTGGAGGGGCGGCTGCGCGCGTTCGTGCCAGAGTGCGCGCCGGCCGTGGGCGACTGCGACGCCCTGCTCAAGCTGAGCACCCCGCCCGCCGCGCCGCTCGGCACGTCGCCGCTCTCCGACCGCCTGCTCGAACACATTGACAACCTAGGTGTGTGTCTTTCACCTCACCCTCGCGTTTTACATTTAAAACAAGTATTTTTGATGAAGCACAGATAGTTTCGGGTACCGTGAATTTAGTCTTAATAGTTTTTAGCAGACATTTTAAAATTATACGTGGGGTAATGTGTAATTAAAAGAGTTAAAAGATAGGCGTTTAGTGAAACATGACAATGTGAGCATTGTGTGCGCAGGTGCGGCGCTGCTGGACGAGCCGGCGGCCGCGCAGAGCGAGCCCGCGCTGCTGCAGCTGCGTCTGCGCGCGCTCGCCCGCTCCGCCGGCGGCAGGACCGCGGTAACTGCGACACACGCACAGGCACACACACACACGCACACACACACGCTGACGGCGAAGAAGAAAGGAAAAAGTACATCTTGTTCGACAGAAAATACTATTCTTTATAAAACCTCTGCTGCTTTTGTGTATGTTGTCTTGCAAGGAGATTTTCGTACGATTTCTACCTTCTACCAACATCCATCCATACATACAAATTTTCGCATTTGTATATTTAAGTAAGTAAGAAGTGAGGTTGTGGCGGTTTGTTGCAGCTGACGAGGAAGATCAGCGAGGCGGAGCGCAACCCGGCCGCCATCGAGCGCTGGATCCGGGACGTGGGCGAGCTGCACGCCGGCCGGCCGCCGCCCGCGCTCGCCTACACCTGGTCGGTCTCACTTTCCCCATTCTGCACCACTTGTCATCAAAAAGATATCAGTTGAATATACGTCTGCATATTTTCAGTAAAATGCCGGACATCGACAGCCTGATGGAGGAGTGGCCGGCGAGCGTGGAGGCGGTGCTGGGGGCGGGTGTGGGGGCGGGCGTGCCGGGCGCGGCGCTGCGGTGCTCGGTGGCGCAGTACGCGGCGCTGGCGTGCGCGGTGCTGGACGTGCCGGTGTCGGGGCGGGGCCTGCGCCCGCTGCTGCAGGGGCTGCACCTGCTGTTCGCGCTCTACTCCGCCGTCAAGAGCTCGCAGCTGTACGCGCAGCGGCAGAGGGAGGCCGACGACGACTCCGCGGCACACACTTAGCACTACGAGTGCCATTTAGTTAAGAAAATATGTTGTATTAATATATTTTGTTTGTCATTTGTTTCAATAAAGGCTATTTTATTTAAGTTAAAATACTATTTTATTCGGAAACAAGCACCGCCCCACACGGAGCGGGCGGTGCTGGGGGCGGTGTTAATGATACACATGTTTACATTACAATCAGCTGCATATATTTAGAAAGTCGGTGACAATGAGATCTAGGTCGTTACATTAGGGCTCTAAGCTAAGTTGGAAGACTACACGCGGCTGTACAAAATTTCAACTTACTCGCTAGTTGTTATTAACAAAGTTAATGTATTAAATCTAGTTAAATTACAATTAGTCCTGTTGTTTGAGTTCAGTTTCACTGATTCGGTCGGTTGCTTCAATGGTGAGTCAAATAGACAAATTTTCAATTAGAGATGTGAACGTTAACATTTAAGGGATTTTCAAAGTACATATTTACTCGCTGGTTAGCCGAGGCTGATTCACCGCGTTATGCATCTTGAGCTGCGTATGATATGAATCTGTTATAATGTACACTCCACTCACGATAGTTCAAAGTATTCATGCATGGCATGGCGAGGGGCGGGGCCCGGCCCGTGGACCTCAAGGAAAGTCCAGTTAAGGATAAGTGGCAGTGGAGACTGCAGACTTTATTGCACAAATGAATAAACAAACAGTCGGTCAGTCGGCAAAACAATATCACAAATAATTTGGTCCGCGTGCGTGGCGGGGAGCGAGGGGCGGGGCTCACGACGAGGTACACTAATGTCTTTCCGCCGCACCAGAGCGAGGTCCGAGGCGAGAGCGCGCCCGGCCGCCAGTCGCCTGCCGCCTGCCGCCTGCCGCCGGCTAGTGGTAGTGGAAGAGGTCGAGCAGGCGGCGGTTGAGCGCGAGGCGCGGCTTGCGGTCCGCGTGCGGCTCCTCCTCGTTGCGCAGGCAGAAGTAGCTGGTGATGTCGCTGCGACAGATGGGGCACTTGTCCAGCTTCGCTGCGAACAGTACGGGCGCAGGTTTAGCACGGAGCGGCGAGACATGCGGCCCGGGGCTGCGCGGGGCGGCGGTACTCACGCAAGCAGCGCGCGCACAGGCAGGCGTGCCGGCAGGGCAGCAGCGCGCGCGACAGCGGGGCGGACGCGCACACGCAGCACAGCGCGCACTCGCCCGCGTCCAGCGCGTCCACCGCGTCCAGTGCGTCCACGGCGTCCAGCGCGCCCACCGGGCCCACCTCGCCCGACACGTACAGTTGCTGCGCACAACACGCACACTCAGTATGAGCGGGAGAGAGTAGGGGGCGGGGGTGGGGGCGGGAGCGAGGCGTACCTTGAGGCAGGAGAGGTGACCGTTGGCCTGCTTGAGGTACTGCGCGATGACGCCGCTGGGCAGCGCGCACTGCTCGTCGCGGATGTGCACCACGCTCACGAGCGCCACCTGCGGCCGACGAGCGCACATGTCAAATCTAGAGCGACCATTGCTACACAATAGTGAAGTGCGGGGGTTTACCGTGTCGTCGGGGCGCAGGCGGTGCGTGTCGCGCAGGTCGCGCGCCAGCACCACCACCAGGGGGTAGCGGGAGCGGGGCGGAGCGCCCAGCGCGGGGGGCTTCTCCGTGCCCAGCCGCAACCGGCGCTCCTCGTGCGGACCGAATCTGGAACGATCGACGGTTGTCTCATGTTAATTGCTCTAGATCGACGCGCTCTCCGACGACCGCGACTTATTTAAACTTATTTACATATTTTAAATGATATTGTCATTATTTCACTAAAATAAAAAGAAATTTATTAGAGTTATGAATTATATTTAAATTTATTTAATTTGACCATCAAAAATGACCGCACGAGCGCACTTAAAGTGGAACCTCCACCGGCTAAGTGAATCTCCTCCGCATTTCTGCCACAGTGTAAAGTCATCAACGATCTGACTTGATGAAATGTTTACTTGACGATCAGCGAACAAACTTATAATGCTAAAATTACGGCTATAATTGTTAGTAAACCTTGCTTAATTAGCACAAACTTTATATTAAATATTCTAAAGGAAGTTAAAACTCTGGGCTATCAAATTTTATTAATTAAATATTTTAAAGATATGGGACAAGTCATTAGTATTTAAATAATTTGCGTATTTTTTATGAATACAGGCTGAATAATGTAAATGAATTTTTAAATTATTCAAAGCCATTAAGCCTGTGTTTCTAACACAAAGCGGGGACACTGCCCACTCAAATAGTAGCGGCGCGCGACCGCTTCCACCGCTACTGGCTCTCAGTGGTACATGCTGGCCACGCCGCACGTTGCTGGACAGACCTTTTGTACAGAACGTAATATATGCCGTCTGGTGTTTCATTCATTATGTCAAATATAATAAACAACCGCTTGTACTTAGTATATAGCAAATGAAGATGACAATATGTGATGTGCTCCGCCACCGACACCGCGACATAACGACACCGCGACATCGCGACACCTTGTCATCGTATATTATTATTTATTCTAGTTTCAAGTGGACTACAGATTACTGATATCAAATGCTTTTTCCCGTTATGTTTATGTATGTAAATTATGTGACTTCAATCGGCCGCCGCTGAGATACACAAACGTAAGCATTGACTCACCTGGTTAGAACTTAGAAGTTTGTATCGTATCATTGATGCTGCAATGTGTTGTGCTGTGCGGCTAATTCTGAACAGTATCCTGTTGTATGTTCTAACACTTTTACATTAACAATATCGCACCAAACAATGAGCTGCGTCATGAGTCATGTAAAAGCCGTGTCTACCCGTGATTTTCCCGTGACTCGCGGTGGGATGTCAAGCCTAGGACGAGGTGACGCAATGAAGGGGATAAGAGAACGCTCCACGCTGATGGCACGTTCCCAGTCGCATCTGGGCGTCTGAATTCTACAGGAAAAGTGTTCTTGCGGACATTGCAGTCCTACGGCTGAGGAGAGGACGGCGCGGCGGGCACTCACTTGTCGAAGCTGAGATGGTCGCAGGCGAGGATGTCGGGCAGCGCCGCCCACAGCGCGATGTGCAGGTCGCGCACCGGCGCACCCCACCAGCTCGCCCGCCAGTAGCGCACGCGCGACGACACTACGCACTCCACGCCTGCAACATCAACAATCATTGTGTTTTTGAATCAATATAAAATTTAAATGGACCAAATGTGTTATGATGTTTGTCGACACAGATCGGTGAGTGGAGCAGTAGGTGAAGGCGTCGCCGTGTCCACTTGTGGGTCAAACGCTCGCCAAAAGGTAACGGTATCAACTCCGCAGCGACTCGTCCGATCAAAACACTCGCAAACTGGTTTCCGTGCAAACGTTACCATGCTAAAAACATTTAAATATGTCAATATGTTCTGTTAAATTTGTGTAATTTACACATGTGTAGTTGTATTAGTTGGCTGAGGCTTCAGCGCTCATTTCGAGAAATTAGAATAAGGAATTTTCGGGTGTTATTGTAGTTTAAAAACCTTTGCCGCACTGACTGCGTTGAGTGTTTGTTTGTTTGTTTGTTACAATAGTGATCATTTTATAATGTACACGGTTGCTATGCGCTATGTCCTGTTGCCGCTACACCGGATGTACGTTTTGTCACTAATTTTTTACGTCACATACATAATATATAAAATTGTTTGCAGGTTGTACAGCTGCAGGCAAGCTTTGTGTTTCAACAGAGAGCTAATAAATATAGTAACACTGAGATACAATTAACCTTCATCGTAATCTTTAATGATGATTAACAATTCTTTTGGTATTCAAATGAGCGAGCGAGCGAGCGACGTGAGCTGTTTCAAGTTCATGCGGCGCATGCGCCGAATTAATGCGGTGTGTTGCAACAGCTCGCTGTGGCCGAGCGCAGCTGTGCTCTACCGGCCGTCCTCGGGGACTAGCCGGTGCCTCTCACAGCCTCGCCTCACCTCGCCTCGCCCTCCATCAACATCTTTCCTCCTGCACAGTGATGCCATCGACGACAAATGCAGCTAGCGTATAGATTTGTACTCGAAACAATATTGTTTAAATGGAAGAAAGGAAGTAAAGACGTTCTCTCAGAAAGACTGCAGCCTAAGCTCATGTTGGGACCGCGTAACGTAAGAATATATTGGGGCACCAGTGTGGAACACACACATATGAGATATCGAAGCCCCGCTAGTCGCACTAGACTACAAGATGGCCACCGAGGGGATTTTAGTGGGTAAAACACATAACCCTGTTGCACACCCTGTTGAAACCAAAAAAAGGTATACTATAGGAGTTTGTATAAAAGAGTGAGTAGTGAGTAGCTGTGTACTAGTTAGGTACTCACCCGAGTAAGATACGGGCAGGTTCTCCACCAGCTTGAAGGTGAAGGGTATGTGCACGCGCTGCATGAGCACGCGCGGGGGCGGCATGCTGCGCGCCCACGCCCGCCCGCGCGCCTCCCCGCCCTCGCCCACTATGCCGATCACTTCCATGTTCCTGCACACAACATCACACACTTTGTTTACTGCACAAAATATATCCGATTGCTGCCAGCGACACCGGCAACTATACGGTATTTCTGATACGATTTCTTTATTTTCAAAAAGTAAGGATTCCAAGGGCTCCGTTTGATTTATATTTTAAAGTATTTCGCCTTGGTATAAAATACAATGCATGCATTTAAATTTAATTTGGTGCTGTGTGAGCGGTATTAATGCGCTATCCTTCCTTCACACAACATTCGCGAGTCGAGCGTTCTGCACGCGAGGGATGGGAAGCAAGAATATACTCATTGTGTATAATATATTCTCTATTGGAAGAAAGAACTTGACTATCAACATTATTAATGCGAACAAATTTATATTAATTAAACAAACAATAATCTTAGCACGTGTCAAATGAAAACCAACAAGTTATTTCACTTCATTTCCATTGTGCCTGAGATTGTATGTCTATGGTATGTCGCTGTGCGCTGCAATCGCCGCCCTCCTCACCGTCACCGTGCTTTGTCTTTGCTAATTGGGCGCACATGTTCGTGTTTATTCAGTCAGTGTAGTAGAACACTACATATGATGTTTTTGTTTTTTCTTGCAAAAATAAACTCTCAAAGTACTCTGCTTCTTGTCCGCCGGGCTTGCGTTTAGACTTTTCTAACTAAGCTACTCTGCACCTAGGTCTATACCACGCCAGGTTTTTTTTTCTGTACCATGAATAAATAGCAAATTCGCAATCGCATACATTCTTACCGTGCGAATTGCGTAATAAAATTTTTGCATAATAACAAGGTTGTAGTGCACAAATAAAGTAAAGTCAAATAAGGTTTGGCAGTATGGTAATTACAATAAATTAATGGATACGCTTTATGCACACTGCATTTGTTCACTGGTTGCATACACGATGTACATTTGTTGCCCGGCTGCCGTCTGCCGGCTGCTGCATTGCATGCGGATGTCCCGGTCCATTCGTTAAGTAACAAAATAAATTAAACTTATGCGTAATTAGCTACTTCCGGTGATGCAATTGCGTCTTACATATTTCTTCCGGAAAAAAAATGGGTTAGAAATAAGATATATAATACATTTCTTAGAGCCTAAATATAACTTATCTCCAAAAAAATTTATCTTTATAATTTTTAGTCCATTTGCTACAAAATTTACTGATCTAAGGATTGCAATGGCTATCGAAGTTGCGGTGGACGGGAGAACGTCTCAACTTTATATGCACGTTACACAGGAGTTAAATTAAAGTATAATATGACAAAAGAAATTAGTGGCAATTAGTGCGTCTAGACTTGCATGTCGAGAAGGAACGGCGCGGTTCTGGAGAGGGTTGCTGCGGGCACGAGGGGGCGGGAGGGGGCGCAGGATGCATGAATTAGTCGGACAAAGGTCCTGACCCCTCAACTTCATCGAGTCTTTATGTGGCAGAGCGGCTACCTCATGTCATACTGATAATAGCTGAAACTCTCATGAATAAACTCAATGCCCTACTCCCAGAAAGAGGTATTTTATGTCCATATTTTAGACACACCTTGATTACACAACGAGACAGATATTGATTAATATTGACACAATGGTAAAGGTCAATCTTGTACATATATAAAACTGCACAAAAATTTACAAAATAGCTTTTAATATTTAGCTTTATTGTTGCTAAAACTTTGAATTATACTTACTACAGTAATCAGTTCCCAAACAAGATTTACCTTTTCTCTAGGAAATAAAATTTACCAATTAAGAATATGAAAAAAAAAATTTTTTGCAAACTTTTTTGCCTAATTTAATTTACAAAGTTCTGGAAAGGACAGTTAACATTTTATAGAGACAGATAATAAAATTAAAGCAATTGCCAACATTTAAAATAAAGTAAGGAAAATAAGATTTGTATCTTATCAATATTCAAAATGGTTTCATTATTAATTTGTACCAGTTTTTAGCTAATTTATTTTTAGAGTTCACTCGTTAAAATAACAAATTGTGCCTGTATGTAAATGTTACCTTTAGAATGTTTCAACAAGACACCACCAGAACTGATCAACTTATATCATTCATTGTTCAATATTTACATTGAATATTTGTAGCATTTATTTGCTGGCTGCATGACCACTAAAATATTATATCCTACTGCATACAAATGTTCATACTCTGCCAAACTTGACTCCCTACAATATGTAGGAATATTCTTTCTTTATTAGAGACTCGGCTTAACTTCTGGTCAAAATAATAAATGCTGCAGACTATCCATTATAACAATTAGTTTATCTCTAGACTAACTTTGCTTGTCGTAAGTTGGAACAAATATTTAAAGTACAGAAATGTTATGAGACATTTCTTATAAATTATGAGTTAATGATGTGGGATCCATTGTTATCCATTTATTATATCTATACATACATAGTATTATTCCCATAACTTAGAGGTGTACATTCCAATGAGGGCAGCCGAGTCTGCTACAGAACACACATTCAGAGGTGAACAAAGCACTTTACAACCAACGGACAGATCTTATAAAAACAAATATCTTTGTTATGTATTTTAGACAAACTTATTACATTTTTATTTAATACCAATGATAATTATAATTAAAATGTTTAAAACAAGTGAAGTAGGAAATTACATAGCTTAATGAAACTCGACAAGACATAATAATTAGTGTATTTAATATGTTCAAACAAAAACATTAAATTAATACAATGCTAATTTCCCATTCCTTACATTAATTAATTTTATTCTGGTATTGGATTTTATAAAGGTAATTTTTGTGGAAATATAATGTCCTATCAATATGACGAGATAGATAAGGCACATAGCATGTTGCATCACACCCATCACAATCCAACCAGCTCAGTGTGACACCAATCAGCTGAGTGAACAACACTTATTATTATATCTTTCTCATTTCATTATACCATATACAAAGCAGACAATAAAAAAAGAAACCACATTTTTAGAAAGGAAGTAGATATAGAACATAACATTGTTATCAAACTCACCTTAGAAGTATGACTAGCATCACGAACAAAGCAACTAAGGCACCTAGCATTATAAAAATGTTTGGTAAATCTGCCAAAGTCAGCCCCGTGGACCCCATGATTGTCACTCTCGATCACCAAATAGCAATAAAATAAAGCAAGGGCGTAAAATACGCATCGGTCCCGCACTGTCACACACCACTCTAGACTTTATCTAGACTATTTTGCGAAAAAGCGGTTCATTTCGTCGTGTATACGACCGCCGGTTGCTCAATTATTTACGCAACAACACTTGGCCACCGTCACTTTAACCTTGTCTTTACCCGATCGTATCTAGCCGTCGATGTTGTTATTCGACGTATGGTCACTGATCATAACAAATACAAAATCATTGATCCAAATAGCTGACGACGAAACATACGCGATAACTGAACGAAGTAATTTGACAGAATGGCTTGAAGACGAGGCGGACGAGGGAGGAGCGAGCGGGGAGGGGGAGCGCGAGCGGAGCGGTCGTGTCATGTCATCACCGATCACCTGCCGACCTCCTTACATACTTCATAAATACTCTGGACAGGCTACTTCAAAATGAAATTATAGCTATTTTTGTGCCGATTTGAAGCGCCACGTGGGGGTCCCGAGAATTAATTTTGACACTTTTTTGGCATAATGGAAAAACGCTTATCGACGTTTACGTCTACGATGATTTATAACTTTGAACTTGCGGTGGTTTAAATAGAATTTCTTTCCATCATTTTTTCTTTCAAGTTCATATAAAATATCGTTCTAACATAACTATGGTTTGTTAAGAAAATTGTAACAACCACTTAGTATCTTTGGTCCTATCCCTCAATAATAGTTTTGTCATAAATTTTTGGCTACATGCATATATGCAAATACCGATCACTTACATTTTTATTATTTGTAGATGTACTGCCTAATCGAAAACATAAATAAAGTTGAAACGGGTATGTGTTAAGTAGTTAACTAGTATTAATTATCGATACGCTTGTTCCATTGTCACGTCTCTATTGTTAGTTGCACCGTCGCTGTCAGCGCAGTGTTAAAAATCAAATAGGCACAATATATCCTGTCCAGTAGCAAGTCCAACGTAAATGTATTTATAAAGCTTAAAGAACAATATTAGGTCTATCGTCCATGAATATGAAATTGGGGGTTTTGTAGGATACTGTTTTAACAGTGGTGACACCAGATGATGTGGCATCTTTTGCTCGAATTAATCGCCTTACCCGGTACAATACCGTCACAGTAGAGAGGCGTCCAATGGAAGCAATTCAGCGTTTTGTCCGAGGAGCGTGCGTGCCGGTAGACTAATTTTAGTCCTCTTTTCCTTCCCACCCTTTTAAGGGATGCATAAGAAGGGGGAAAAACAAACAGGAAAAGCAATGTAGCTGAAAAGTTATATACCTCATAAATTGAGTTAAGCAAAATACTAGTTAAGCCTATTTGAAGTTTATGCTAGTTCCTCCCGCAGGAGTTAGGTACTTAGACATTGCGAAACAAGGCCCGAGCTAAATACACCCTTACGTTGCACATACATACATCGTTTTCGACTTATACGACTTTACAGCTTACGTCCACTAAGATGTATTAGGCATCATCGATGTTATGCTCCAGAATAGAATTTGTAAGGTGCCTAGGCAAATTACAAAAGCGAAGCATTAATAATCGCTTGGTGATATACATAGTACATTGTGTGATGATGTGTGCGTGCGGTATGTGCTATATCTCTAATCTATATCACAACAAGAATTAAGTTTGTTATCTAAATTGTTTTATGTATTTCATCAAATGTTTATATGACTTAATCACGTGTTACATCATTCAGATGAACAAATTCTCGCTGCACAATAGCATTATTCTTCTGAAAGAAGATTTAGAGAGTGATATTTAGTTCCAGAACGAGGCCCCGCGGCGGCGGCGGCGGCGGCGGCGGCGGCGGCGGCGGCGGCGGCGGCGGTTGTCATGTGCACAGGCGGACACAAACGTGTAAACAAACCGACGATCGATATTACTTCGGCGCTACGTATTACTGTGGCATTATTCGTTAGGAGCGCTTCTCTATCAACCAAATCGTTTACGCAATCTCGCAGCATACTTTCGAGGTCGGATTAGGCGGGAATGTGGCCGGACCTTGGCTCCGACCACGCGAATGAAGAACCCCGCTGAGCGAGGGGAGCACGCGACATCCAAGCTGTGGAACAACGTGGCGTCCTGCATGGAGAAATGGTTCGGTGATAAACGTCTCTGGCTGTTCGGCAACAACCTGCCGCTGCTGCCGAGGAGGTACGTCAAGTGACATTACATGCTCGCGATGTCATCTGCGCCGCCGCCGTATCTTCTGAGTATTGCACATATCTAAATAGGCATCGAGTATATTGTGAATATGGTAAATTAATAAAATAATGCAGTGTCGTATTTCGCGTTATTATCTTTATATAATACTAGCTGAACGGTCTCCGCGCGGAATTTAAAATAAACTTAATTAAGAGCCTATGTTAAAGCCAAAATATTACTCACTCCTCTATTCCTAAGAAATTTTATAAAAATTAACTACGGGTCTAGAATCTACTTAGTTTAGGAAACAGGAGTACTACTACTTTGTAATTTAATCATACTTTTGTTGCCAAAATAAACGATTTTAATTAATATTATTATATTATTATAACTATCTGTGAACGCCGCTGAAGAAAAATAAGTGATAAGTCCGTCTAACTTCTGTCATTTGATGTAAGCTTAACACAAAAACGTAAATGTTTTCTTTTTGGTGTCAGTCGGTATTGTAAAGCATACGAACGAGCGGATTATGTTTGTCGGCTCGATTCAAACTTTATAAAATTATCAGGCATGTGGATGAAATTCCAGTGAGGCGTCGGGCGATATGTCCGGCTCCGTGGACCGCGCCCTCGTTTCAGCAGAGGTCGCGGCCGCCGGGTACGAAGAAGTTCCCTTTCTTTTTCCTCTTGTTTTCGTCCAACCTCAGCTTTCCTTACGTATGGTACCCAGCCCTTACCGCTGATATAATATTAAAATTGGTATTGATCGAGTGAGTGTGTGTGTGGCGCAGGTCGCGGGCCAGCAGCCGCGCCATGGAGCGCTACGAGAAGTTGGCCAAGTTGGGCGAGGGCTCCTACGGGCTGGTGTACAAGTGCCGGGACCGCGAAACCGGTGCCCTCGTCGCTGTCAAGAAGTTCCTCGAGAACGACGACGACCCGCTCATCCGGAAGATCGCGCTGCGGGAGATACGCATGCTCAAGGTGAGCTCCACCATCTCGCTCGGCACCTAGCTACATTTGTTTCGGTCTTACTTATGTCACTGTTGCGAAACAAGCCTTTAAACAATTTTTCGGTATCTTTATGGGTTTGTTGGTAAGATTTGTTGTTAGAACAGCTGCGGCGAGCTTTCCTTCATTACAAATATGTGTCATTTTTCTTGCAATTCATAGGAAATTTGTAACGTTTTGTTACAGAACCTGAAGCACCCGAACCTAGTGAACTTGCTGGAGGTGTTCCGGCGCAAGCGCAAACTTCACCTCGTATTCGAGTACTGCGACCACACGGTGCTGCACGAGCTGGACAAGTACCCCGCGGTCAGTTACCCGCCTTCCCCCGCGCACCCACCACACCGACACACCACAACCACAATCTGTTAAAACAGTAATCAGCTTATATAGATAGTTAGCTTATACCCGAACGTTACTACATTTTTTTATTATTTATATTTCGTATGAAAGTAATCGACAATCAAGTTTTTTTTTAATTATGAGTGGTTTCAAAATGCAGTCACCTTGGCTCTCGATTTTGTACAAGCGACATTGCAACACAGACATACATAGCAGGGCTCGAGAAGGCGTTAGTAAAAGCTAATGAAGTTGCTCAGTGCATTGCACAAGCCAAGCCTCGGCGCGCCCCGGCCCGTCTGCCCGCCTGCTCGCCTGCTCGCCTGCTCGCCTGCTCGCCTGACAAATATCGGGAAGAAACGTGTCACCAAAAAATCGGTACATAGTTTTGTTTTAATGCAGATAGTATGACCGCGAATTTTAACCCCGTCGGTCGGTCGGTCGGT